GGACACCATCAATAGAACAAAAAGATATCCTACAGTATGGGAGAATATATTCATAAATGACATATCCGATAAAGGGTCGACATCCAGAATATATAAAGAGCTCACACACTCAACAAACAAAAATCAAATAATCCAATTAATAAATGGGCACAAGATCCAAACAGACACTTTTCCAAAGAAGAAATTCAGATGGCCAACAGGCACATGAAAAGATGCTCCACATCGCTACTTATCAGAGAAATGCAAATTAAAACCACAATAAGATATCAACTCACACCATTAAGGATGGCATCATCCAAAAGACAAACAACAACAAATGTTGGCAAGGATGTGGAGAAAGGGGAACCCTCCTACACTGTTGGTGGGAATGTAAATTAGTTCAACCATTGTGGAAAGCAATAGGGAGGTTCCTCAAAAAACTAAAAATAGAAATACCATTTGACCCAGGAATTCCACTCCTAGGAATTTATCCTAAGAATGCAGCAGCCCACTTTGAAAAAGACATGTGCACCCATATGTTTATCGAGGCACTATTTGCAATATCCAAGATATGGAAGCAACCTATTTGTCCATCAGTAGATGAATGGATAAAGAAGATGTGGTATATATACACAATGGAATATTATTCAGCCAGAAGAAGAAAACAAATCCTACCATTTGCAACAACATGGATAGAGCTAGAGGGTATTATGCTCAGTGAAATAAGCCAGGTGGAAAAAGGCAAGTATCAAATGATTTCACTCATCTGTGGAGTATAACAACAAAGAAAAAAACTGAAGGAACAAAACAGCAGCAGACTCACAGAACCCAAGAATGGACTAACAATTACCAAAGGGAAAGGGATTGGGTAGGATGGGTGGGAAGGGAGGGACAATGGGGAAAAATTACGATCAACACACCTATTGTGTGTGGGGGGCACAGGGAAAGCAGTAAAACACAGAGAAGACAAGTAGTGATTCTATAGCATCTTACTATGCTGATGGACAGTGACTGTAATGGAGTATGTGGTGGTGACTTGATGATGAGGGGAGTTTAGTAACCACAATGTTGCTCATATAATTGTAGATTAATGATAACAGAATAATAATAATAATAAAAACAGATCAACAATATATAGAGACAAATGAAAATAACAACAGCCCAAAACCTGTGGGATGCAGTGAGCGCACATCTAAGAGAATAGTATACTGCAATACAGGCTGACCTCAAGAAGGAAGAACAATCCCAAATAAAGTCTGAACTCACAATTAATGAAACTAGAAAAAGAAGAACAAATGAAGCTCAAAGTCAGTAGAAAGAGGGACATAACAAAGATCAATGCAGAAATAAATAAAATTGAGAGGAATTAAACAATAGAAAGAATCAATGAAACCAGGAGCTGGTTCTTCAAGAAAATAAATAATATAGATAAACCTGTAGGTACTCATCAAGAAAAAAAGAATGTGTACACAGATAAACATAATCAGAAATGAAAAAGGAAAAATCACTTCGGACAACACAGAAATTATTCTTCAGACACAAAGAATTATTAGATAATGCTATAAAAAATTATATGCTAACAAATTGGATAACCTAGAAGAAATGGACAACTTTCTAGAAAAAAACCTTCCAAGACTGACCCAGGAAGAAATAGAAAATCTGAACAGACAAATTACAAGCAATGAAATTGCATTGGTAACCAAAAAACTACCTAAGAACAAAAGCTGTGGACCAGATGGCTGCACCACTGAATTTTATCAAATATTCAAACATTTAGAGTCATCCTAATATCCATCCTCCTTAAAGTTTTCCAAAAAGTAGAGGAGGAGGGAATACTTCCAAACTCATTATATGAGGAATCACTCTAATACCAAAACCAGGCAAAGACCCTACAAAAAAGAAAATTATAGAACAATATCCCTGATGAACATAGATGTGAAAATACTCAACAAAATATTAGCAAACAGAATTCAAAAATACATCAAAAAGATCATCCATCATGATCAAGTGGGATTTATTCCAGGAATGCAAGTATGGTACAGTATCCAAAAATCAACATCATACACCACATCAACAAAAAGGACAAAAATCACATGATTATCACCATAGATGCTGAAAAGGCATTCCACAAAATTCAACATCCATTCATGATTTAAAAAACTCTCAACAAAATGGGTATAGAGGGCAAATACCTCAACATAATTATGGCCATATACAACAAACCTACAGCCAATTTACTTAACAGTGAAAAGCTGAAAGCTTTTCCTGTAAGATTGGTAACAAAACATGATGCCCACTCTCCCCACTTCTTTTCAACATAGTACTGGAAGTCCTGGCCATGACACAACACAAAGAAATAAAAGGCATCCAGACTGGTAAGGAAGAAGTTAAACTGTCACTGTTTGCAGATAATATGATATTGTACACCAAAAACCCTAAAGAATATACCTCAAAACTACTAGAACTAATAACTGTATTCAGCAAAGTTGCAGGATACAAAATTAATATACAGAAATCAGTTGCATTCATGTATACTAATGATGAACTAGCAGAAAGAAATCAGGAAAATAATTCCATTTACAATTACATCAAAAAGAAATACCTAGGAATAAACCTAATTGAAGAGGTGAAAGACCTTTACACTTAAAAACTGCAAGACACTCATGAGAGAAATTAGAGAAGATACCAATAAATGGAAATACATCCTCTGCTCATGGATAGGAAGAATTAATATTGTCAAAATGACCATCCTGTCTAAAGCAATCTATAGATTCAATGCAATCCTATCAAAACACCAACAGCATTCTTCAATGAACTGGAACAAATAGTTCTAAAATTCATATGGAACCACAAAAGACCCTGAACAGCCAAAGCAATCCTGAGAAAGAAGAATAAAGTTGGAGAGATTATGCTCCCTGACTGCTCTACTGCAGAGCCACAGTAATCAAGACAATTTGGTACTGGCACAAGAATAGATCCATAGATCAATGGAACAGAATAGAGATCCCAGATATAAACCCCCACATATATGGCCAATTAATATATGATAAAGGAGTCATGGATATACAGTGGGGAAATGACAGCCTCTTCACAGCTGGTGTTGGCAAAACTGGACAGCTACATGTAAGAGAATGAAACTGGATTATTGTCTAACTCCATACACAAAAGTAAACTCGAAATGGATCAAAGACCTGAACAGAAGTAAGTCATGTAACCATAAAACTCTTAGAAGAAAACATAGGCAAAAATCTCTTGAATATAAACATGAGTAACTTTTTTTTGAACACATCTCCTCAAAGGAAACAGCAACAAAAATGAACAAATGGGACTGCATCAAACTAAAAAGCTTCAGTATAGCAATGGACACCATCAGTAGAATGAAAAGGCATCCTACAGTATGGGAGAATATATTCAGAAATGACATATCCGATAAAGGGTTAAGATTCAAAATATATAAAGAACTCACATGCCTCAAGGCCCAAAAAGCAAATAACCCAATTAAAAAATGGGTGGAAGATCTGAACTGACACTTCTCCAAAGAAGAAATTCAGATGGCCCCAATAGGTACATGAAAAGGTGCTCCACATTGCTAATTATCAGGGCAATGCAAAGTAAAACCACAATGAGATATCACCTTATACCACTTATGATGGCTAATATCCAAAAGACAAGGAACAACAAATGTTGGCAGGGATGCGGAGAAAGGGGAACCCTCCTACACTGTTGGTGGGAATGTAAATTAGTTCAACCATTGTGGAAAGCAATTTGGAGGTTCCTCAAAAAACTCAAAATAGAAATATCATTTGACCCAGGAATTTCACTCCTAGGCATTTACCCAAATAAAACAGATCCCATATTTAAAAAGACATATGTACCCCATGTTTATCTCTGCACTATTTACAATAGCCAAGATACTGAAGCAACCAAAATGTCCATCAGTAGATGAATGGGTAAAGGAGAGGTTGTACATATATACAGTGGAATATTACTCAGCCATAAGAAAAACACAAATCCTACCATTTGCAACAACATGTATGGAGCTAGAGGGTATTATGCTTTGTAAAATAAGCTAGGCAGTGAAAGACAAGTACCAAATGATTTCCCCCATTTGTGGAGTATAAGAACAAAGAAAAAAACTGAAGGAACAAAACAGCAGCAGACTCACAGACTCCAAGACAGAACTAGCAGTTATCAAAGGGGAGGGAGTGGGAGCTTGGGTGGGGAGGGAGGGAGAAGGGGATTAAAGGGCATTATGATTAACACACATAATGTAGGGGGTCATGGAGAAGGCACTACAACACAGGGAAGACAACTAGTGACTATATAGCATCTTACTACACTGATGGACAGTGACTTCAATGAGGTGGGGGTGGACTTGATAATGTGTATGAATGTAGTGACTACAATGTTGCTCATGTAAAACCTTCATAAGATTGTATATCAATGATGCCTTAATAAAAAAATGTGTTACAAGTAGGGCGTTGGTTTAGCTGGCTATGAAGAGCTACTCCAGCCCATGCTGTTGTCTTTAGTTACATACATGTGTGTGCTGGGGAAAGAGGAAGCAATGAAAATTAACCTCTCAGCTCATACAAATTTGTAGGAGAAAGGAAGACCTGTAAACGTTATAAAAAATAGGAAGAAAACATTAGTTATGGGTATAGAAAAGGGGAGACTCAATTTTAAAAGATCAATAAGAATCCATAAAGTGAAGATACCATAGCGTTAACAGATTTTCAGATTTTAGATCTAGCTTTTGGAATGAGTGGGTATTTGATCCCATCTTGACACTGGGAACTAAAAGACCCAAGAGAGCTATTTTGGGTGGCAGACAGACTTAAGGACAAATTAAGACTGTTATCACATTGTTGACCATCATAATTGCCTTCAATCAGCAAGAACACTGAGTACCTTTTGTTCCATACAAAATACTTCCCATGACACCTGTCTTCAGCAATAGGAAAGTGCCATTTGAAACCTCAGATAAAATGTGTCTTTCAAACCTGATTTTCCTCATTTAGGTGTCTCCCTGGGATAAAAAAGAGGAAGCTAACCAGAAAAAGCTAGAATTTGCATTTGCAAACAGTGATTATCTGGCCCTTCTACAAGCATATAAGGTAAGTATGTAACTTAATAGCTAAGGTTTATTACAAGAGTTGGCACTAAAAATAGTAAGTTTATTTTGATTTTCTTCAAAATTTAGGGATGGCAGCTAAGTATGAGAGAAGGCATGCGTGCAAGTTATAATTACTGCAGACAAAACTTCTTGTCAGGAAGAGTTCTTCAGGTGAGTCATTTCTGCAGCAATTCGTTTTCATTCACTTTCTATTGTAGTAGCACACCAGAAAATGTTGTGACTTTATCTTGCTAGTCCTGCCTTGACATTGAAAATGTTATTTCTGGAATATGCTTGGCTTTACCAGCTGTGTAAAACACACTCCTGTACTATGACATCAGGCCTTCTGTGATGAACCTTTCAACTGACCCATTTTTCCTCTTTTCAGTGAATTTGCCTTTACTTATGTAGAGGGTGGGGGAATATAGGCACTCTGAAGATTGCTGCTTACTAGAAGTCAGGTTTTTAATAATTATTCCATGCATTCTTAACCCAGATCCACAAACCCCTGGACTTTTATGCAAAAGCATATGTTTACACATACATGCATTATTCTGGGGAGAGGGATCATAGCTGTCATCAGATCCTCAGAGGTCTGTGACCATCACCAACCTCTCACCAAAACCAAAAAATGAATGGTGAACCAGATTTTCTTTGTTATTTTTTTCTTAATGTCTATCAGAGGTGCTATGTCAATAAGCAGTACTTGAGAAAGAGGACGGTTTATGATCTTCTGTGTGATAATAGGGCTCTGTCCTCTGTTGTGACAGTGTTTTAGGCCCCCTTCAAAATGGTGTAAGAAGCCAGATAATGGTGCACATCTTTGCAAAGAATCTGTTTTATTCAAATATTTTTGAGACTGGAGAAAGAGAAGGACTTTATTGTGATGTTAATAGATTTCCTAGAGTAGAACAAAAAATTAATGTTCTTACTGAAGGGTCCCCACCAGTAAGATGGCAAACTTCCGGCTTCTCTTTGGGGTCCTCAGTTCCCGCCGGCGCCACCTGAAGCCCAATCACCTCTCGCCCCCCTCCCAATCCCAGCACCTAGCCAACAGCCACCAGCCCCGTAGAAGTGACACCTCAATCAATTCATGCCCCTTCCTATATAACCCAGCACCTTTCCCTAATAAAGCAGAACTCTCCGGTGAATTGCTGCTATGTGTCGCTCCTTTCCTTTCACTTACTACTTACTACGACTTGACGTTTATTTATCTCTATCTCAGAAGCTCCATCAGAGCAGAGAATTTATCTGTTTTGGTTAACACTGTATCCTCAGTCCCTAGAACAGTGCTTAGCACACAGTTGACACTCAGTGAAGATTCATTGAACAAATGCATGAATGACTGAATTTGGCAATTAAAATGAAGTGAGAGACCTTCAAACCATCCCAGTATTTGTCTTCATTCCCCTCTGCCTTCAGATGTACTGCAGTGAGACATGTTGAGAAAACAAAGGTTCTAGCTTTATTACAAATACATCAGAATCCATAATTTTCAACCCTAGTAGCACATTAAATTCACCTGAGGAAACTTAAAAAAATAAATAAGTAAAAATGCTCAGGTTCCACCCCAGACAATTACATCTGGCTCTCTAGGGGTGGCCTGGGCATCTGTCTATTGTTGTTGGGCTCACCAAGTGATTCTAATATGCAGCCAGGGTTGAGAACCACTGGTCTAAAGGGTATTTTATATGTAAAGTACAGTGATAAATATTTCCTAAAGTCATTAAACTTTTTAGATATAAAATATTTCTTTTAAATTACATTTTTTACTAAATTATTTTCCTTTAGGATATATGTAGATTTTGTTGTGATCTGTGAGGTCCATCAAACAGAGTTCCCTCTTTTCACTGAACTCCATCTTAGATTGTAGTATTTTTATTAAGATACCAATTAAAACCTTGTCATGAAATAGAACTCTGGTATATTTAATCCCTAGTTATACGTTGCTGTGTTATCCACGTGTACTTGAGACATTCCAAGAAAATACTTAAATTTTCATCAAGAGACAGGGTAGTGTTGCTTAGCTTTCAGTTCCTTTGATTGTCATTATCTCCTTCTCTCTTGTCTGATAACCTGTATTTGAACAGAGGCCAGAAGAGAAAGAGGTTTGTGCTTTTCTTTCTCACACTTGTGCTGAGCTACAAAAAGGGGTGTCTAAATCTAAACCACTTACTAATGTCCCTCGCCTAGGAAAAGATGTGAGCCAGTGAGACCACAAGGTAAGAGAGAGAGGGAGAGTTATGAGGGGGGGTGTTCTGTACCCATTGAGAGAGAACACTCACCACTCTAGGCTCAGGTAAAGAACTAGGAGGCTCTGAGCAGAAATGCAGAGACAAAACTAGACAGCATCACAGCGCCTTGAATTGGGGTTCCAAACATAGTAAGCTATACTTTTTGCTGTCAGAAGAATTTCCAAGAAAATCAGACCTACCCAAAATCCAATGAAAGTGTTTTTAAACATGTAATTCAGAGTTAAATAAATGATCTTTGGGTTTCTGAAATTTGTGAATTTCTATGTAACTGTTTCACTCCCTCTGCCAGTTTATGTAAGTGAAAACTGTCCTTTTGGAAATGACAAGAAATCTTCACACCTGTTTGATGAACCCATGTGAGCCACATTACTGTCCACTGAAGTAATGCATTTTTGTATTCATTCATTTTGTAAGACTCTGCATTTACCTTTGATATGTTGATGCCCCTGCTTAAAGATGTTTTTCTCCACTTTTTTCAGGAAATGGCCAGTCTCAAACGACAATTTACTGAACTGTTATCGGATATAGGCTTTGTAAAGGAGGGACTCAGAGCAAGGGACATTGAGAAAAGGGCCCAAGGAGGAGATGGTATCTTGGATGCCACAGGAGAAGAGGTGAAGAATATGTAGTTAGTTCTTTTTTCTCTCTAATTAGCACGTGGATAGCATATTAACTCAGGGACACTTGTAGGTACAATTCATTTGAGTCCTGTGAGCGGTGGGTTAGGGGCTTTCTTCATTTACAAGAAAACCCTGTTAACTATTACTATTGTTCTTGTTTTTATATTTCACTCTGGTTCTTGATGAGTCCATAAGAGGTAGAATGAACTTTCCAATGATGTCTTCTTAAATCAGACTAGCCTTTTTCCAACCAAGGATAGTTTTTTGTGTAACTATAGGATTCTTAAAGATAAACCTGATGCCACTGTTCTGTGCAGTTAGAACTTTGTGGAGATTTTAAACATCTCATGAACAGAATTTTTCCAATGATCCTTAGGAACATTGCTTTGTACCAGCTTTGCATAGATCTAGAAAGAATTATCATGGGCTTCTTGGATTGGGTCCTATATGAATGTGGCCTGGTAGATTTACTTTTTACTTAGAATTTTTCTAGCAAAGAGGTAGAAATTAGATGTTTTTTTGTTTTGTTTTGTTAAAAGATAGAAATAAAATGAAATATAATTATAAATTCCAGAGCACAGACAGAAATAGCCACATTTTTGTAAGAATAATGTTATATTTCTCTCATAGGCAAACTCAAATGCTGAGAACCCTAAGCTGATATCAGCAATGCTGTGTGCTGCTCTGTATCCAAATGTAGTGCAGGTAACAACACATTTTTCCTGGATCTCCCACTTACTTGATTTATAGCCAAGAGATGTAAGTTAAGATGTACACATTCATCATCTTAAAGAGATACATGTACACACACACATACACAGTCTTTCTTAATTTACTATACCTTTCCAATTCCTTCAGTTCCCCAGATTGGGTTAGATACATCATTTGATAACACCATTATTGTATAAAATGAGGTGCCTCTTTAATTCTTTTGATATGTGACATTCCAGAAATTGAAATGGACATAAATGTGAGTCTGTCAGTCAGCCTCTGCATACCTGACCTTATATGTTAGATAGAAACTTGATTCTACTAGTTTCGCTTATGCCCTGTATGCTGTACTAGAATTCAATAAGAACAAAGTCAAACAAGTCAGTGCTTTGCCATGGGACTGCCTGTGGCCAGCCTTCCGGAGACCCTCCCTGAATGTGCTATTGGACTTCTACCTGAGTCTTAATTATCCAGTCCTTGTCAGACTTAGAATTTGAATTTGTCAAGCATACTGAGTCATTTCTCAATGAACTTTTTGTGAAATGCTCAGTTGACATCTGCTGAGTAACTTATGGCACATTTTCTGCTTAGTACTTGCATACCTTTTCATCTGAAATTTACTTTAAAAAATCATTTGGAGCAAAACTATGGAGATATTCAAAAGAAATTAGGGGTCCCAGGGGTGAATATGCAGAACACAGAAGGTGAAATACTCTGTATAATACCATAGTGACAGATACATGTCATTATACGTTTGTCCCATAGATGTACAATGCCAAGAGTGCACCCTAAGGCAAACTATGGACTTCAGGTGATTAAACTGAAAATAACAAAATTTTTTTTGAAGTATAATATTGTTGCTATCACAAGCTCCCTCAAAGTGAAACTGTTACTCCTAGTGGGAATATAAATTGGTATACCTTTTCTAGACAGCAGTTTCATGTTTAAGGATTTATTATTAAGATATAATTGCATATATGCATAAAGATATAGCTAGGAGAATATTCATTCTGGCACTGTTTATAGTTGCAAATAGTCTAAAATTCCAATAATAGGGAATTTATTAGTTAAATTACTATAGATCCTTACAACTAGGTACTACATAGCCACTGAGAATTATGTTTTAGGAAAATATCTAACAACATGGGAAAATGTTCTCAATCTATTAAGTTAAAGTAAATTATAGAAAACAGTCATATTAGTTCCATACATGTATATATTTTTATTTATATTATGTTTATGGTTTCTCTGTTTCCATATATAAACATAAATCTAGCAGAGGAAACTAAAATATTTATCAAATATAATGCTAGTTATTTTTTAGTCATGTGATTACAAGAGATCTTTATTTTTTTGTGATATATTATTTTCTACGGTAAAACGTGTTATTTTTGCTGTGTATATAACTCGTGTGTGTGTAGATAAGCTTTTATTTTTTCAAATGAAATGATCTGTGTATTTGTATAATCTCATTTTCACTGTTTGGAAAGAAGTTAGTTTGGAAACATGAAACTGGGATTGTGGTTGCTCGTCAGCAGATTCCTGGCCTGGTGTTGCCAGCAGGCCCTCTGCACCTGCTGGCCAGTGCAGACCTGAACTACCAGGATAGTTACACTTGAGTGGGTAGTGTGTGGTATGTTCACCCAGAGTTTCTGCACCCACAGTCACACTTCTTGATAGTAAAAAAAAAAAAAGAAAAAAATAGTGTGCTTCTACTACTTTCCAAAGGAAGTAAGTGAGAGAGGGAAGAAACAACAAAGGCATTCAGACAAGATTGGTTTCATGCCAAGGCATACTTCCTACAGTGGAAATACATGTATTTTATACCTATTTTTACAAACACCTATGGTTTAGGTGAAAAGCCCGGAAGGGAAATTTCAGAAGACCAGTACTGGAGCTGTCAGAATGCCACCCAAATCAGATGAGTTGAAGTTTGTTACCAAGAATGATGGATACGTACACATTCACCCTTCTTCGGTGAACTATCAGGTCAGAATGATGGGGTGTACTTATATTTACATATGGCAGGTCCTGGGGTGGAAGCACAGTCCCTTAAATGCAGCCAAACCTCATTCTATCACTTGTTCTCTCCAGCAGCACCACTGACTTGGGGAGGTTGTGTAAGCATTAATGGACTGGAAATTGGATTGTTTCCATTTTAAGATTCTACTGCATACAAAAAAAAATGCTCAAGCCTGCTTTCAAATATAAAGTTATGTCTTTGCAGTGCTGATTTAAAGAAGTCACGATGTAATTACATCACTGAATCTGTGCCTTATAAGGGAATGGCCTGGATTGCTGGTCCCACTTCCTCAGCTCTCATTCCTCCTCCAGCCTGCTACTGTGAGGCTTCTGAGATGGTAAACTCTCTAAGAAGGGGAAAAACAAGAATTCTTTTTGGACGTGAGAAGTTTGAGATGCTTATTAGGTGTCCAGGTGGAGACATCAAGTAGGCAGTTGTTTGTACAAGTGTGGAGCTCAGGGGTAAAGGCATAGGCTGGAGATAAATTAGGGAGTCATTGATGGACATGAACCTCTCTCTGGTGGAACCCCCTTCATGTTGCCAGGACATCATCTGAGGTCTTATGTTCCAGGTCAGACATTTTGACAGCCCCTACCTGGTGTACCACGAGAAGATCAAAACTAGTCGGGTGTTCATCCGAGACTGCAGCGTGGTGTCTGTGTATCCCCTGGTCCTGTTTGGAGGAGGCCAAGTGAATGTGCAGCTTCAGAGGGGAGAGTTCGTTGTCTCCTTGGATGATGGTTGGATCCGTTTTGCAGCTGCTTCCCATCAAGTAAGGGTGACAGACAGGTCTGTCCAAAGAGGCTCAGGCCTTGAGGGGCTTTACTAATTGGAAGTATAGGACATTCCTTCAGGGACCAAGAAAAACAAAGCTGATTAAGAATGAGTGCTGGGTCTTCAGTGGGACACTAAGAAAGACTGAGGCTGACCTGAGGCCAAGGTAGAGCCTTAGTAAGAGCACGCACACTGGGAATGGAAGCCCAGGGTGGGTTGGTGTGAAAGATCAGGATAGAAGCTATGAGTGAGGGGTTGGAACTTCCTAATTGTTATTACAAATTATGTATGTTCACCAAAAGAAAAATCAGAAAAAAATAGATGAGCCAAAACAAATAAAAATCACCCTGATTCCAATTCTACCATTAAAAAAAAAAGATAATGGATTTGAATTCTTTTATTCTCAGATCTCAATTATTCACTGTATGAGACTCTGTAGAAAACATTCAAGGGGGAGTATGTGGTTAAGAAATTCATGCTAACATTTGCATCTGTTAGATGTCTTATGTTGCAAGAAGCAGAAATTCCAACTCAACCATTAAAGTAAATTTATCTGTAAACTTATAAAGTGTATTTAACTATGAAGTCTAAAGTAGCACATTCCAATATGTTAGCCACATACGTAATTTTTCTAGTAGCCACATTAAAAAGATAGAAAGAAATAAGTGAAATATGTTTTATTTAACCTAATATATCTAGAAAGTTTTAATTTCAACATATAATCAATCTAAAAATTTATTGAAATATTTCACATTCTTTTTTCATACTAAGTCTTCAGAAATACATCTCAGTATGGACTGGCCACATTTCATGTGGTTATTAGATTAGCCACGTGTGACTAGTGGCTGTCAGATTGGACAGTTCAGGTCAAGAAGGCCAGGAAGGGTTGGTTTAATTCAGTAGCTCAGCTACAACAAAATCTGCCTGACCTTGTGGGAGTCAGATGGCTGCAGCAGCTCCTGGCCTCGCATCTGGGTGGCATACTGTCCAGAAGGAGAGACAGAACCTTTCGTAAAAGCTCCATCAAACCTTTTCTCCTAAACCAATTCCTGTGACCACAGAAATGTCTGGACCCAAAGGCCTGGATTGCCTGAACCATCCGTGCCAGCAGGGCTCATAGCATGAGCCTGCTTGATTGAGATCAGGGTCCTACCTGCATCGTTGCTGAACAATGGGGGAGGAGCACATAAGCTGGTGGGAAACAGGCCGCAGGGCTACTACCCCACAAGCATGGCAAAATGCCGTAATGTGCAGCTGTTTCTCCCCACCAAAGCCTAAAATGTACCTCAAAGCTGAAGACATTTTTTGGGGATCTCTTTAATTCTGCCATTTTTAATTCTCCATTTTCCTGCTTTTCTTCTTGGAGCAAACTGTAGAAGTTGGCCAAGGTTTAATATGGAGAGCACTGCATAAAAACCATTCTTCCAGATTTAATCTTTTCTTTAAATGAGATATGCTAGAGGAACCTTTTTATAATGGACCCCACCTGAGTATATTACAGAGCTGAGAATGAGTGAATGTTCCTATAGTGGCATCAAGAAATTTTAGATGAACTTACAGAATAAGAATGTGTTCAGTTTTTTCCCTGCAATGGAGTTGAAATTCTAGAATAATGATAATCATAATTGAAGCATTTCCTTCAGTAACCTCTCCTCTCCTATTGGTCCAAGCACTGCTTACATTGAGACTTTCATTTTAGGTGGCTGAATTAGTAAAGGAACTTCGCTGCGAACTTGACCAGCTCCTCCAGGATAAGATAAAAAACCCGAGCATAGATCTGTGTACATGTCCTCGAGGATCCCGGATCATCAGCATGATTGTGAAACTTGTCACCACACAGTAAAGGCCAGTCTTAGGAGACTGCTTGCTACTCACCTGCTTCTTGCTCACCTGGGAAATAACAGCAGCACCTCTACCTCCAACTAAAGCTGTGTGCTGGGGCTGGAGCCGGCCCTGGGGACGGGGCCCCAGGCATGCACTGCTGGGTCAGATGAGGCATCACATACCCTTAGGAAATGTTCCCGGCTAAGTATTGCTAACAAAGCAGTGGGCACTCTGCACAATTTGGAGTGTCGATGTGAGACAGTCTGAAAATCAGCTTGCGTGTTTTTTTCCCTGTGATGGTTTCCTGGAATGAATGAATTTCACCTGGTAACACCACAGTGAATGTTGAATACAATTCTGCTTTAACCTATGTATTTTTTTTTCTCCTGCTTTTTACGGGGTGAAATAGGGGCTTGAGGAGAAATACTGATTGTTTTTCTGTCATAGGCTCAACTGAGAGAAGTCACAACAGTGGGAAAAAAGATCATGTGAGCAAGAAAAATTAAAATTTAATTTTAGGCTATTGACCACAGAGTAAACCTGATTTGTGAGGGTTTTTCATTTTTGCTCATTAAAATGCAGCCCAAAAAAGCCAAACTTAATGAGCTCTTAACTTGTTATTAAAATTCGAGCTGGTCTTATCCATAACACTCTTATTCTTAAAAGCAAAATAATTGGGTGTCCTCATTCTCTTTTAGTTTTCTGCTTATGAATCTTTATTGTCTAATGAACTCACCCAGGTCTAATGGCCACATTTCACATACCCAAAGGGGAGTTGTAGTTGTGTTCTCAGACCAGAGCTGGCACAGTTGAGGTAGAAAAGGTTGCCATGCTAGTGTCAGATTTATAGCTGTAAAAATACCTTCCATGAGACTACATATTTTCAGCCACCACTTAGGCTAATGGTGCACTAACATTTTGAAAAAATACAAGTACCTTTATATTTTTCCTGGAGAATTATCAGTATAGCTAGGAAGAATCCAAAGGAACTAAAGAGAAATAAGTTGTGTTTATCTAGCCCTCGGGTAGAGACGCTACAGGTTTCACACTGTAGGTAGAATTCAAACTAACCGACAAAAGCACCTCAGTGGAGGGTGTTCACTTGTCAAGGTATTATCTTAGTTAGATTTTCAAGAATCCTTCTAGACTGTCCAAAATGATCATTGTCAAGTGTGTTGAAGCTTCAGTGCACTTGAAAAGGTTAGACTCAAAGCACTATTTTTAGAAGGTATTAATTCCCGTCATCACTCTAAGTAAACATACAGATGCAGAGCACCCACAGTATCCACGTTCTGCCTTGGCATGAAAACAAGGCTCACATTACAGAACTGATCAGACTGGGACATTTAGGAGAAATGGAAAAAACTGTTAACCCTCTAAAAAAGTTTTTTAAAACCAGTTTTGACTTCCGGTGCTATAGCAGAGCTCATGCTGCCCTGGCTCGAGCCATCTGCCCAAGTGGCCCTGCAGCTTTTAACACAAGTTGGCAGCAAAGCATATAGCTGGGAGGTACTTGACATTCCAAGTGCTGAGAACTCACTCCCCTCAGGGAAGCCATTATTGGGCTGGTTACTTGCAGCCACACACAAATGCACAAACCGTATCATGTTACAGATGTGCCAGGTTATGGAAAAAGGTTGGGAAGCCTTGGCCAAAGGCACCGAATAAGAAAATCCTCACCCCCAAAATCCAGTTTCTTCAGCTCAGTCATTAAAATCAGGAAATGATAAATGAAAGAGGATTACTTCTTTGCCATTGAAGATCAGAATGAAATATATAGCATTTCAAGGTGAAACTGGATTTCTTAGGGCCCCAACAAGATTGTCAGCATTAATGTCAATTTTGTGGAGAACTCTGTAATTGCTTTCTGAAATACTTGCTTTCCTTTTGCTGGAATCTAAGTAGGGGCAATATTAATAAAGTACTTGCTACAGAATTAGTCTGCACTGCTGTTTTGTACTGTCTAATTGGGAAGTACTCAAGGAATGAGAATAGCTAAACACTCTTAGAGGCAGCCACAGGTTGACAAAGCATTAGTTACCTTTGTCTTCTTCCTCCTTGAGTTCCATATCTGAATACTGTAATGCAAACTCCCTGACAAGTAATGAACTTTGGTCTTTGTCTTCCCACTCTATTACCTGAACAGTTTAAATAATATATGGAAGTACCCAGCCTGTGGATCTGTAGGCATATGGCAAATAATGTTTTTTCCTTCCTAGGCAATGATTTGAATATGTCCCTAAGAGGTTATCATGAAATAAGATCTTGTGAAAGTACTTTATAAAATAACATAGAGCTAATGTAAGCAAATTAGGACCAAGGGTGTGGTTTTCAGATGTAGCCCAGGCTGGTTTTGTGGAGCTTGAACTCTGTGTTGCATTCTTTCAATTGCTGGGCTGAGAGCTGGTGAGCTGGGCCTTCCCTCTGCGGGTGTCCTGCGGGTGTCACCCAGTAGCCACATAAATAATGGACTCCTGGAGACAGCAGAATATGCTCACACTGCCACTCGTATGCTTGACCAAACCTAGGCAGAGGCTGGCTCCTTCCTCCTAAATCACACTAGAATTAAGCATAATTCCTAGGATTTATATTTCCTAATTGCAAGGGGAAAGTTTGCTTATTTAGCCAGTTAAGAAATATATTGGGCTTCAGAAGTTACACTGAAAAAGATACACTGTTTTCAGAAGTTAGATCTTGATGGTGAATCTGTGTCAGTCAGAAGGAAGCACTCACAGAACACAGTGCTTCGGGCAGAAACAAGATAGGAACAGTAACACGACAGTGTCACAGTAGTAGTTTTAGACTGTCCAGAGTGACAAGCTTCGTCCATGTCTTTCAGTCATAAATGTAAAAGCAATATGATGCCTGTGTGAACAGTTAACCATAGTCAGTCATTAACACGGACATTTTTCTTGCCATTTCTATGTTACTACCCTCAAAATGATATATCAGAGATTGGGTTTGTAGCCAATCACTAATCTTTAAGGTGCTTTAAAATCTTAGGTATTTTAATATTTGTTTTATCAAAGAGCAGAGAGTATCCCTTTTAGAGATTCATTCATGCCCTGTATAAACCATCAGGAATGAGTAGAATCAGTGTTTCAAAAGATACAGGGCAGCACCCCAAGCAGGAACTGGTTCCCCCAGACAGTTCGGCCCCTTTGCCCAGTCTTTGCCCGATTTGGGCCAGCCCCACGTCCACCCCTGAGTCACTCCTAACCCAGCTAATTGAGTAGGTAAGCCAGAACCCAGTTCCCTGGTGAGAGTTAGGATGGCTTAGAATAAATTGACTAGATTTTTTTTCATCTCTATTTAAACTTTTTTAGGAAAGAAACAGCAACAAACGCCAATAGGAGGGGTTAGTTTGAAAAAGCAACATCCAAGGGGTGGCCTTGGAATTCAGCCCAACCCTTAACTACCAACAGTGAGACTCAGTGTTTAGGAGGATGACCCAGGATATTACAAACACAATACTGCTAAAGATGATATAATAAGATAGTTATTTAATAAGCATTTTCAACAGAAGTAGTTTCATTTATTCCTAATGCAGAGAATGCAGTTTACTGTTACCTCCTCCAACCTAGATGTACCTGAAAATAGCCTGAAGAGTTCATTTTCCTTCCATGTTGAATGAATTACAGAAGAGATTATCTGTGGCTGGTTTTCTTCTACAATAATTAAGGACAGGGTAACTTAGACAAAAAGACTCAATTACTTCCTGAGAATCCTCTTTTAATAAGTTTTTAAAAAATTTATTTTGTCATTAATCTATAGTTACATGAAGAATATTATGTTTACTAGGGTCCCCCCTTCACCAATTCCCCCCCACAAACCCCAGTACAGTACTGTCCATCAGCATAGTAAGATGCCGCAGAATCACCACTTGTCTTCTCTGTGTTGCACAGCCCTCCCCATGCCCCCCCCCCAACTATACATGCTAATCGTAATGTCCCCTTTCTTTTTCCCCACGCTTATCCCTCCCTTCCCTCCCTTTCTCCCTAGTCTCTTTCCCTTTGGTAACTGTTAGTCCATTCTTAGGTTCTATGATTCTATGGCTGTTTTGTTCCTTCAGTCTTTTTTTGTTCCTACAGTCTTTGGGTTTGAGGTGAGTCTCTTGTAAACAGCATATGTATGGGTCTTGCTTTTTTATCCATTCTATTATTCTGTATCTTTTGATTGGTGCGTTCAGTCCGTTTACATTTAGGGTGATTATTGAAAGATATGTACTTATTGCCATTGCAGGCTTTAGATTCATGGTTGCCAAAGGTTCAAGGTTAGCTTCTTTAGTATCTTACTGTCTAACTTAACTCGCTTATTGAACTATTTTAAACACTGTCTGATCATTCTTTATTTTTCTCCCTTCTTATTCCTCCTCCTCCATTCTTTATATATTGGTTGTTTAATTCTGTGCTCTTTTGTGCTTCCTTTAACTGCTTTTGTGGGTAGCTGATTTTATTTTTTGCCTTTAGTTAGTATATGGTTGGTCTGCTTTCTTTGCTGTGATTTTATTTTCCCTGGTGACATCTATTTAGTCTTAGGAGTGCTCCCATCTAGAGCAGTCCCTCTAAAATACCCTGTAGAGGTGGTTTGTGGGAGGCAAATTCCCTCAAATTTTGCTTGTCTGGGAATTGTTTAATCCCTCCTTCATATTTAAATGATAGTCATGCTGGATACAGTATTCTTGGTTCAAGGCCCTTCTCTTTCATTGCATTAAATATATCATGCCATTCTCTTCTGGCCTGTAAAGTTCCTGTTGAGAAGTCTGATGATAGCCTGATGGGTTTTCCTTTGTAGGTGACCTTTTTCCTCTCTCTGGCTGCCTTTAAAACTCTGTCCTTGTTCTTGATCTTTGCCATTTTAATTATTATGTGTCTTGGTGTTGTCCTCCTTGGGTCCTTTCTGTTGGGAGTTC